ATGCAGATGTCCGATGAATCGCAACCATCCGAAGGCTGCCACCGTTGGAATTCTGCCTGGGTCAGAGGAATGTGCCACAGCGTAGGCACCGGCAGATATTCCTGTCGACCTCCCTGCGTCTCCACTCTGCTGATAAGCAGGCGAGGTCCGGCGATTCTTCTCAGATGTATGAGAGGAACACACCTTCTTCCTCTCTCCCCTTTGGTGTCCCCAGGGAGGGGAAAGAAGCAGACAGAAAACTATTTACATCATTTATTTCTGCCTCTTACATCAGTACAGAGAATCATGTCTGCACTCAACAACAGCAAGACGAAACTCCTCCCAAGTACATCCAGTACGGGTCATATGACACACACACACACTGAGCTAACATCCGGTGCTCAGTACAGAATGGACTGCCCCTTTGTTCCCATGGCAACAGTCACAAACATCCTGTCTGGCTTTCCAGCCACAAGCAGCTGGCTGAGCTGCTAGAGCCTTTGCTTGCTGCAGCATTGGTGCTTTATGGTAACAAGAAGGAGCAGCAAGCAGAAGGGGAGGGGAGGAAGAAATCTGGCACACAAATTGCCTTCTGCTTATCCAATGTTGGACACAATCCTACAAGAGGTAACTTGAGAACAAGATGTGAAAAGTGAAATTATGAACAAGATAACTCATGATAATTTTACCCACTACTGGTCTTTGTAGGACTTAATTTATAACAATATCTACATTTGGAGAACATTTGGGTGTAAACATTCCCCTTTATTAATACTGAAGGGAGAACTTTAGTGTAGCTTAATAAGTTTCTTAAAAGCACAGATTGTGAAATAAGTATATGGCTTTCTTGCTCCTTCACAACAAATCTGGCCGGCATCTACAAATCCCACAATATAGCAGAAGAAAACTTCAGGGTCAAATGTAAACTGATTCTTTTCATGATATTTTCCAATTTTGTCTCTTCCCCCTGCCCCTCTTAATTTACCAGTAGGTCTTCCCAGTGTATGTTGCACTGTAAGCAGCATAATTTGCTCCATTTTTACATTAAACCATTTTCAACTCATTTTGCTTTCGTATTATACCTCAAGCCTCTGAATTTCTAGCTAGGGAAAGATTCCACATTCTCTCTATTTTTAATATTCTTCCATGTTATTATTTCCAGCTTTTATGTGTATAATCATACGCAGAAATGGACTTGCTTTTTATAAGGAAAAAAAAGCTCTGTGATTTTGCATAATTTCCCCCCATTGCCTTTAACTTTTGTCTTTTCTCTCACAAAGGATAAGGATTTGAAAGGCAGACAGTATCCTTGGCTGATGCCTTTTAGTTGGCATTTTGTTTTCAATAGCTTTCTTTCTTCCAAACATTTTACATTCGCTGCTTGCAGCATCTCTATCCTCCACTCTTCACAGAGGCTCTTCATGATATCTCTGGAGGGTTTTGTCCAATTTTTCAGGGAAAGAATTGAAGGGTCTATCATTAGCAACACTATACACATTTCTTTGCTGAACACTCAGAGGAAAAGCTATGCGGGTTCTAAAGGGCTCAATACCCAGAGCCAGACTTCTGATATACCAGTAGACAACTAGAAGACTAGTCAGTATGGACTACATTCGGGGGGGGGGGGATCTATTTTATAAAAAAATATGGTCAGCAAAATGGAAAAGGGCTCTTCTTTTTCAAAGTGCAGCAATATAGTCAAGCTGATATAAACAATCACTTTGATAACACCAACCCAAAGTAAACTGTTCTTCCTCTCTTTCTCTTGCTCAGCCAGAATTGCTGACCCTCCTCTCACAGAAATGCCTTTGTAGGTTTATTTTCTATTCCAGAATTCTTGGATATCACAGTTTACTTGCCCTTCATCAGTTTAGTGAAAACCACTTTTGTATTCTTAAAGCTCCCAATCAATCATTTAACTAAGGATGAGTTCTGAGCATGTACTTGCGATCTCCAGCACCCAATATGCCATTTTCTCTCTGGCCTCTTTAGTCAGCAAGGAGGAGCATAAACCTTCAATTTCATTTATCCAAAAATCCAGTCAACATGTTCTGATCCATGTCCAGTATCCATAACAACAAAGGAAGAAGTCATGAGTGTATTCACAGCCATACAGCCCAAACCAGAATGGATGAGCACAACAATATCTACAAAGTATAGTGCAAAGTGGCCACAGGTGATGCTTACATTCCCTGCCAAAACATGCATAGTTGTACCTGTAGCTCAGGATAAGACTTCACGCATCTGATTCAGTGGACCATAGTCCATGAGCGTTTTTGCAATAATACAGCTTTGAGTTTGTGGGGTGCAAGACACCCTAAATTCCTGGGTCCAATAAAAGTAAGAATTAATCAAGGTTTGAGAAGTTACACTGTGCCAAACACCCAATCCTTGGATTCAGCTTATGTTAAAAATACAAACAAGGCCAGCCTAGTAAAGCTCATGGAGTGTAGGTTATTAGGGGAACAAAGCCTGAGAATAGCCAAGTCATTAATTTAACAAAGGATAGGCAGATGGGCCCTCAGGAGATTCCATGCCAGGCAGCCAAATGGGTGAAGCCCTTCCCTGAGCCTTGGTTTCTAGTTAGTAAGCCAAAAGGCCAGAAGAGTGGGGTTTTGCAGGATGTCGACTTGAGGAAAATCCTTTAAGTCTGTTAGCAGCGACAGGCAGGAGGCAGGGTCACATTACAAGGCGGGCTGACTGCTTGGAGACAGCAGAAAGGAGTCAAGAGAATTGCTGATTTTTGTCTTTGATCCAATGCTGCCACACCTATGGGAGAAGCAAGAGATCCTCTTGGAGTGTAATGCTTTGAACACATCCACAGTACGCTCAGATCATATATGTGTGTAAATAAACCCTATATCATGAAGGCTCCACAGGCTCCACTGTGCCTCATTTCCTCCCCTCTCCCTTTATTATAAATATCAATACATTACAAAAACTATACACACTTGACATTACATTACATATATTACATACAAAACATACATCACCTTCACCACCCCTTCCACCTACCTACCAACAAAGACACTGACATACTGTGCTTATTGACTTCCAACCAGTCTCAATGTGTAATTTGGTCAATCTTTAATCTATGCGCATTTCATATTGTTTATTATGTTTATGCTTTATGATAATTATTTCCTTTTTCTCATCTTACTTTTCTCTTTCTCTCTTTCTCTCGTCTAACTTCTCTATGTATTAGATTTATTTATACTTCTGTCAGAAGACTTGTGTTTTCTATATAGGGTTTGAGATAATCATTAAATATTGACCAATCCTTGTTAACTCTTTGTGTGGTGTTTCCTCTTAATCTCCCAGATAATTTCGCGAGCTGTGAGTATTCAATCATTTTTTTTAACCAGTCAGTTTTCGTGGGAATATTGTTACTTTTCCAATTTTTGGCTATTAGCAACTTTGCTGCAGTGGTCGCATACATAAATATAGGTCGGGCAGTTTTTGTAATTTCTCGTGGCATAATACCAAATAAAAAAACCTCAGTTTTTTTGTTGAATGAAAATTTAAATATTTTAAAAATTTTATTATAAATAACCCCCAGAATTCTCTAATTTTCTTGCACTCCTACCATATGTGGATAAACGTGCCTATTCCTTCTTTACACCACCAACAGGTTTTCGTGTTCTTCTTATATATCTTTGCCAATTTGACCAGGGTTAAATACCACCTGTATTGCATTTTCAGTACGTTTTCTCTTAAATTATAGTATGGAGTGAATCTAATATCTTTTTTCCATAATCATTCCCAATCACTCCTAGGTATGTTATGCCTGATGTCCTGTGCCCAGCAAATCATAACTGCTTTGACCTCCTCTTCTTGCACTTCCCAACTGAGAAGGAGGTCATACATGATGGATATAAATTTCCCTTTTGCAATTATTAATTTCTCTTCCAGTTTTGATATTTCTTTAGAAAATCCTTTTTGTCTAACCTTACCCAAACATTCATTAATTTGAAAATATTGGAACCAATCTACTGTACCTCATTTCCAAAGGAAACACAAACCCTGGATAAGCACAGCTGGAACCCCTGGAATCTCACACTGCTGTGGAGATTTTGATGGCGTTTAACAATACATCTGTTAGTCTTTAAGGTGCCACAAGATTATTGATGTTTTTGTTGCAAGAGCAAAACATGACTATGCCCCACCCCCACCCCACCCCCCGGTGATTTTAAGAAGAATGTGCATCAGTTTGAGAGAATCTCTCTCTCATAGTAGAAATAATGAAAGTTTGACACGTGTTTACAGGCCACAAAGAAAATAAGCACAGGACAGTAAAAGAAAAATGTCCAGAGGAGAATCTGTTGTTGCAGCTGCCGAGAGCAGGTGTCACCGTTCTCTTTAGCTTAAATGTGGAGCTGTGGTAAATTGAAAGGAAAATCAGATCAGGGTAAGCCAAGTCAAGCGGCCAGATTTATTATGTCTCCTTAAATGCGCAGTTTCGTTTTTCTCCTTGGTTCCTACTTACAAATAACACAGCAAGCCTTGCACTGCCTGCTCAGTTTGTTGTAGAACAAGTACACTGATATCCTACATATGCTATCTGCAAAGGATGGGCATTTATATTCCTGGTCTTTGGAAAAGTACTGCTTTTTCAGAATAGTCAAACTCCATATCAAAAGCATATAGGAAAATCAGAATTTTTCTACAGATGGGATGCTATTTGCATGGCATTACAGCGACATGCAGTACACAGATGCCTCCATTCGGGTGGCGGTGATGTGAGTTCAGCAACTGTCCTCATCTTAACAACTTAAGACAGAAAAATCAGCAAAAGCCATTAGACAGTCAGAAAATGCTGCTAATCAGAAAAGCAACCCATCAGTGGAACAAACTGCCTTGGGAGTTTCGTCCTTTTTACATGGTTTCAAGAAAACTAGTATCTATCAGGCATGCCCTAGATGTGGCCAGTGCTATCCGTAGATATTTTCACCTCTGAAACAAACCTCAGAAATTCTTTCTTTCTTTCTTTCTTTCTTTCTTTCTTTCTTTCTTTCTTCCTTCCTTCCTTCCTTCCTTCCTTCCTTCCTTCCTTCCTTCCTTCCTTCTCTCTCTCTCTCTCTCTCTCTCTCTCTCTCTCTCTTTCTTTCTTTCTTTCTCTCTCCCCCCCCCTTTTAAAGAGCAAACTGAGCTGGAGGTTGCAAAATGGTATCACTATGATCTGCCTCCCAAGGCTTCACATCACTTCACTTCTTGGTAAAGCCACTTCTGATGATAGGATATTAGACTGCAAAATCTACCGTCAAGTTCTTGGTATTAGGGGCCTCATAAACATTCACATAGCTTCTGCTTGAATGCTCATGAACAGGATCAAGATGAGTAGCTACTGATTCCCCTTCCCCAAGGTCCTGAGGTGTGGGAAGAGGCAGCAAAGGATCTTTTAGGCCTTGCAGTTGCTTTTTCCCACATAGTTTAGAATTCCTAGAACCTTTGGCAGAAAAAGAAGGTTACTGTGAATTCTGTAGAGTAGGCAAAATTTCCAAAGTTGAATTAACAGGCTGCAAGGTAAGAAGGAGTTTGCTGGGGGTAGAGCACATGGAAACATTATACTAACCAATATGGAGCTCTTGCACCAACCTTGCACCAGAGTGCTTGCACCAACCTTCCTCTTGCCTCACCTCTCTCTCTCCCAATAAACAGCAGCTAGCTAGCATAGTGATTCTGCCACACCTGCTAAGCCACTTCTGATTACATCTCTTGCTCCTTTTGACCCCATCCTGATATGCCCTGCTTTGATATAGAACAGTGCTGCACACAATGTTCTCCACTCCCCTGGAAGCTTCAACACACATGGAGGCCATTCTCCCAGCATCTCTCTGACCTGAGGAAGTTGTGTGGCCACTGGAAGAGTCCAGAGCAGGCATGGCCAAACTTGGCCTTCCAGCTATTTTGGGACTGCAATTCCCACCATCCCTGACCACTGGTCCTGTTAGCTAGGGATGATGGGAGTTGTAGTCCCAAAACTGCTGGAGGGCCAAGTTTAGCCATGCCTGGTCTAGAGCTACTGAAATAAGCATAGCCCCTTTGACCAGAGCAGCTTCTCCTGGGGCAGGGAAGCAGAGCTAACCACCTGGCTTGAGCTACAGCCCTGTTTAAGGTTCAGTCTGGTGTTATTTGTTGTTGAATTTGTTCCTCTTGAAGCTCTCTGTTCTATGCCAACACTTTGTATACTAGAATTATCACCTGCAGCAGAACAATAAGCCAGCAAAATACAATGGAGCAGTCCAATGATTTCCCCTCAGTGAAATTTTGCTCAGACTAAGGCTGTTAACTCAGTTCCAGAATGCTCCTGCTGCTGGTGTTTGAAGCTGTTTACACAGGACATTAGCCACAATCCATATCTACCCTGTAGTTCCTTGAGAAGCACTGCTGTTTCACGTGTTTTCCCTCAAATCCCATCTAATCTGAAAACATAAGCCACATTCACTTTGCAGTGACGTTGAGGTGTGTACATTTGAGACAGCTGTTGCACATGTGCAGATGACAGCTTCATGAATAAGAGTTTGGGGCAAGGATTACAGGCACGGGGAAGCCAAACAGGTAATGTGCGTCAGGTGAAGGCATCCCCCCCGTGTATTCAGTAATATGTAAATGCAGCTTGAAATGCATTGAAAATCTCTCTGCGTTTTGAGCCATTAATGTGTACATAGCCTATGGAACTTAAACTGTGGGAATCATAACAAGATACAGAATATGCTTAGTCTCCTTTAGTCCCCTAACTTCAGAGCTCAGGAGAATGCCCTGAATCCCTTTCAGCTCCCTGTAACAAATTTCCTCTGTGTAGCTCAACCTTCAACAGCCTGGCACCCTCCAGATAGTCTGAACAAAAACTTCCGTCAGCCCCAGCTAAAACAACTAAGTTGGGTAGAGCTGATGGGAGCTATAGTCCAGAACACATGAATGGTACAAGGTTAACAAAAGCTGGCACAGACTTACGTGAATGGAGCCTAGCCAAGAATGTTCCATTATCCCATGATTATTATTGTTTGGTTTCCAATCTGCCTCTTGGGGAATATGCAAGGTTGCCAGAACAGAGCCTGAAGAGATTATCTACTTCCTTATATGTCCCAAAGCAACACACAGTATAAGGATGCAGGAATGAGCTGACAACCCTGGAAGAAATGAGTCCCCCATCAACATGGAACTACCTTGACCTTTGCAGCATCCAAATGCAATAATTATGAGCAGGAATGTAGGGACTCTGTTGATGTTCGAGGTTCTATTACTTTAGCACTTTGTGAGTAGAGTATATTTCTTTGTGTTGTTTTCTGGTTGGGGACGGTTAGCTTGTAACCAAACAATTACATCTTTATAGCATCTCCAGTCTGCTTCCTTTTGTGTGCTCTGGGTCTGCGCTGGAGTCATGAGAATCTTATAAAATCTTTCCTTAGCCCCATTAACTTGTGAAAGAGCTACGCTGTGAAACATAATTTGTTACTTTATGAACATTAAGCTGTTCCAGAAACAGATGGAGTCTGGTTCTCTGGGAGAAAAAATAGTGTTGTGATGCTCAACACAATTCTGCTAGGAAGGAAGAAAAACCTTCTGTTTCGGAGCGTTTGCTGTTTAAGCCCCCCTGGTGCATTTCAAGATGCCCCACTGATTGTGCTAATCCCTTTTCCAGAAATACCGCTTCTCGGGCTGCCTGCTCCCCAAGTAAGCATAGTCCTTGGAAAAATTATGAAGAGAATCATTCTTCTGTGTCATGAAGCTGGCAACCTGCGCTGGAGAATGGCACAGAAGCAGCTCGTTCCCCCTCCCTTCCCTTCCTACCTCAGCTACAATGTTTTCTCTTTACAAATGCAAAGGGCAATCGAGTCTCTCAGGAACCACATTGAGCCAAGCAGGAAATCCTGCTGTAGCTGCACTTATAAGGAACTACCTTTGGCTTCCCCGTTTAATATGCCCCCAAAAGGCCTTCGAAATATATTTGGGCATTGGTCACACACAAGACACACAGACACACACGGTCAACATAAAAGGATGAGCTGGGGACAGGATTGGTGCATTCCAGTGGTTAGAGCAGGACTTTGGGACAGAATAAGCAAGGGCTCGCCCAGATGCAACAGACCTGGTTTGCCACATTTTGAACTAAGTGAAGCAAGACATCTGAAGAGCCCTCCCAGTGACACCAGGATCTAAAATGACCCACCCACACCACTTCTTAGAAAGTGTAAATGTATTTTATTATAATTTCCAAATTGGCCCCTTGCCAGTATTTTGATCTCAAATTATTGGAACTTGCTTTTCCAGTGGCAGTATACCAGAGTTTATCAGATGCAGGTAACAAAAAGCAGAGGAAAATCAAAATCTTTATGCAGTGCAGAGGGCTGCCCTTCCGACTCTAAAATTCTATTATCCTAATGGCCTGTTTGAAAGTTTGCTACAACAACTGCTGAAAAGAGAACGATTGACTAGCTGGACCTTGGTCTGATCTACAAGGCAATTCCTTCCTGTCTTTCCTTAATAACAATGTTATTGAAATTTTTAAAGAAAACATCATATGAGTCTTTTGTTCTTGCTCTCCTTTGTAGTTTCAGTCTTTCTGGTTGCAATGAAGCTTCTTCACAACAAAATCGCTGTGTCTTATCAACACAAGCATTGCAGTGATTACTTTAACAGGATGATGGACAGTGTGTGATGTTTCCGATTATGCTGCATTTTTTTAAAAAAAGAAAAGTGTGTGTGAGAGAAAAACACAGGAATATTTCAGCCTTATTATGTGCATATAAGCAGCTGAACAAAATAGCTTGCTTGCATGAAAGTCAAACTGTGGCACCATCCGCTCCTTCCTTAGGCAAGCTATTAAAAGGTGAGATGATAGAACAAAACAACAGCTGCAACTGTAATGTCTGCACTGCTGATAGTTCCGCTGGTGTCTGTGCACTATAGTGATAGACACATTAGAAATTCTTAGTAGGGAAGGTATTTCACTTGTCTGACAATATTATTTATTCAGCAAGCAATGAGTGCTGGGAAGCACATTAGTAGTGCCAGGCATACACCTCTACAGAAAGAAAGAAAAAAACCTGTCCCTGAACAAAGTCCAAATTCTACAATCAGAATAAATTATGCAAAATGGCAATTACTTGCTTATTTTGCATAATTTATACTGCTTTCAAAGTTCATTTTTAAAAGAGTTTAGTGCATATTGGCAAAAACTAACAGGAGAAAAGGGTATGGAGGTTCTGGAGACCTGGACTTCAAGAGTAGTGATGGAGGAAGAGTGAGCTAAATGATGCACCACAGGGGGTATCACTTAGAGAAAGCCCCAGGGATGGAGAACTGATGGTCTAAGGTCCAATTTTGTCCCATCAGTTGTCCAATTTGGTCCATGAGGCCATTTCCCTCACCATGCCCACCTGCTTAAAAAAGAAGCATGAACTGCTTTAAACAGCTAAAATGGGTGAACAAGGGCTGCCTCAAAGCCTTTTGCAAAAGCACTCTTTGATACAGCCTCCTCCCTTCACATTTAAATACAAGGGAGCAGTTGCTTCAAACAGTACTTTTGCAGTTCGAAAGCATTTGCAAGTCTCCCTGTGCTTCACTTTTAAATCTCCAAGATTGTCTGATAATGATGTCATGGCTACAAGGATCTGGCTCATGGAGCGAAAAAGATTCCCCACCCGTGTTTTAGACCATGTGTTTTTTTCTCTCTCACACACACACACACCTGTAAGCCAAATCCTATGTCCTGCTGTTTTCAGTGGAACTGAGTCTCAGATAAGTGTACATAGGACTGCAGCCTACATGTGTACAGTGGTACCTCGGGTTACATATGCTTCAGGTTACAGACTCTGCTAACCCAGAACTAGTGCTTCAGGTTAAGAACTTTGCTTCAGGATGAGAACAGAAATCGTGCTCCAGCAGCGCGGCAGCAGCAGGAGGCCCCATTAGCTAAAGTGGTGCTTCAGGTTAAGAACAGTTTCACAGAGCTATGAGAAAGTCACAGGATCACAGAACTGTAGAGTTGGAAGGGATCCTGAGGATCATCTAGGTTAAGTATGGACCTCCGGAACGAATTAAGTACTTAACTCGAGGTACCACTGTAGTTCTAAGGCAGTATACGGTGTAAACATGTCAAACGCTCTTTAAATGTACTGCTCTTTAATATTTGCTCTTGAAAATCTCCAAGAGCAGGCCTTGAACGGCACTGCAAATCTTCCCCTGCTTCCTCCCCACCCAAGGAAACTTGTAATTCTACCCCTGCTGGAACAATAAACAATGAATTCTCCCCAATTGTTACAAAACAAACACAGCTATGTATAGTGCAGCTTTAATACAAAGCAGAAAAAGAGCGCATTTCCACTTGTGCGCTCTTTTGCATTCATGGAATTCTCCTGTCTATTTGAATCCATTGCACAGCCCACACTTGATAGAACTCTATGTGAATACTCCTATGCTCACATCAGATTTTTTGTTGAGCGAGAGCTGAGGGGGTGGCAAGAGCAGCTCTTTGAATGCTTTAATACAATGTTTGGAGGTGCCCCACTTTTCTTCCCAAACAAAAGCAGATAACCGCTTGGCAACAGCGGAGAACCTGCCGACCTCCAGATGTTGCTGGACTCCAACTTCCACTAGCTCCAGCTAATGTCCAGGAATGATGGGAGCTGAAGTTCAACAAAATCTGCAGGATCACTGGTTTTCCCATTCCTGTCACAGGGATTGGCACCCTTGCAAAAGCTTAACAAATATGCAACCATATGTATTAAGGATTTGATTCACAGTGACTAGAAATGTCAGTGCAAAGAACCTTAGGAGCCCTCCAAACTGCTGCTAGTCATAGCTGGATTCCATAGAGACTTCTTATGGTATGCCTTAATCTAGACATCAGTGGAGTCTTGTTCAGTTTTTTCAGGCTGGTCCCTATAGTCATCAGAATGATGAGAAGATTATTGTGGTGGAAACTAGACACATGTGGAAGTGCTCCTTAAAAAACATTTTGAAAAATATATTGAATCTGCCATAAGCTCATCCTCGCCATCTAGTGTCCCATTTGTATAATGATTTTAAAATGCATTTAAAATGTTATATTTTTAGCTGTATAGCTGAGTCCACAGAGGGTCACAAGAGGAACAAGGGTAGACATTGTGGAACACAGGAAGCTGCTGTATATACAAGGCCAGAGAGGGTTGGATCTAGGGCTTTTCCCCAGCTGGAACTCACCAGAACTCAGTTTCAGCACCTCTCAGGTGGGCACCATTGCCAGTATAAGAGAACAAGGGTGAGTTCCAGCACCTCTTTTTCTAGAAAAATAGCACTGGTTGTATCTAAGTCATTGCTGGAATGGAATTACCAGTAATTGCCTTTTCTCAGAGAACTGTAAGGATTGCAGCTGAAGATCTATGACAGAGTTTTCACCACACTGCAGTTCCCCGTAACTATTACAGGGAAGCCAGGATGACTGGATGCAATAAAATGGATATAAGTTTGTAGTGCATATAAGCCTTTCCTGAATTAGACTGCCTGCCCTTCACAAAATAAACTTGGGGAAACCATCTTTCAGAAGATATATTGGGTCCCCTGTCTGTGTAAACTAGCACAGCCACCTGCAATTCCTGCTGGAGGATTATCATCCTTTTTTTCAGATGGTGCCAGCTTTATAGAACATAGAACATAATGAGGGTGTCTTCTTTTGCTACAAGGCTAGTTCACAGAACCGCACAGAGTTCCCTACTACAGCTCCAAAGTGTGTTATTTTTAAGATTTTGATCCAGCTGAGCTCTTTATATTAAAAAAAGAGAAGTTATTATCACTCACCACTGGCCTTTTGCATCCTACGTGCATGCTGTCTCCACTGGAGTGTCACATCTTCCTGAAAACGATCGTGAAAGACCAATTATATGCAAATAAATCTGTGCCTTTAAAAATACTATTAACACTGGCCCTTTTCATCCTACCTACACTCTGCCTCCGCTGAACTGACACATTTTCGTGAAAGCTGAATTTGAAGGTGGCATATTCACCACTGCTAGAGCATATGCTGCCTTTCAGCTGGTTAGGTCTTGGATTGGCAGAGCTTTGAGATAAGCATTCCAAATATTTCTTCAAGAATCCTCATCCAGGCAGATAAATATGTGCCTGATAAGCTTAAAGTCATGGTCTTTATAGCTAGAACCGTCCACATTTTTGTATAAAGCAAATGCAGGAACCCAAAGCAAATTGTAACATGAGCATTCCAGTAGCCTCATTGTAGGGAATGATTAGAAGCACAATCTTGGAACGTTTTAAAAGTCCTGGTCCCAATGGAAGAAAAAACAAACCGAAAAATACCAAAGGTGAAAGAAATTCAGTGTTCTGTTGCAGCTTGCCAGATGGAATAATTCCTCCTGCCCTCCTGCCCTGTGCTATTCTAGGGGTTCTATATATGTTTAATAGATTATTGTATTTTAATATTCTGTTAGAAGCTGCCCAGAATGGCTGAGGAAACCCAGCCAGATGGGTGGGGTATAAATAATAAATTATTATTATTATTATTATTATTATTATTCTCTTGACACACGAACCAAATCAATTTTGTGGATGCAGAGGGCACGGGGGGGGGGGGGAGAGAGAGAAAGGGGGAAAGCTCCACCACACAAGCAGAAGTCCTTACATAGGGCTTCGGCTGATGGAGTGAGCTAGTTGAATCCTGTCCCAAATGACTGTTGAGGGACATTATCAGTAACCCTGAAGCAGCTCAAGTATAAAGAATGAACCCTCAAAATGGCACTGAACCTCAGATAATGAACACTGTCCAGAGTCAGGCACCGTTTGTTTGAGGAAGCTCAATATGGGGAAATTGAAGCATCACCACAGATATTTTACAATCCTAAAGGGTAGAAGTGGCACTAATTCACTAAAGACTTAGAACATGATCAGCTTCTCACATTAAGCATTAGCATTAGATTCAGCTAGGGCATTTCACAATGAAAAGAGTCAGCATTCCACTCACCTTTGCAAAATAAAGCCTTTTAGCTGAACATCATTTGCTATTAATAACTCCCTCATAACCATGGCTTTGTGCTATAGGAATTGCTAAAAAGATTATGCTGTCAAACTAGTCAACATATTCAGTTAATATTTAAGAGTGCTTGACGGGGAAACAAACTACTGCCTGAACATTGGTTGCATATTATCTCCAGACATGGGCATAATTTGTCAGTAGATCTCACTGTCAGTAGCTTAACAGAGGGGGTATTTGTCCAATTGCCCAGTTTTGCCAAGCACACCAAGCCAGCCACGTTTTATGCTGCTGGTGATGCCATTCTTTGCATCTTTTCTTTTGAAGCTGTTTTGGCCCCCCGATGTAGACATTGTCGTTCTCTAGGAATTACAGTATATAGTTGTCATGTATCTGGGTTAATCACCTAGTGCTAGTTCTGGGGAGCAGGGAATTGGTTCAGGCTCCAGAAGGAAATGGCATGGATCCTGGTCTCTGCTTGGATTGCCTGAATGCCTGAGGATTTGCTCATAAATGAGACTTTCCATTCCCTTTTCCACACAGAGGTGATTAGGTATTTTTACCATCAATAGGTAGTGTGAGGGGACAAGAGAGTCAGAATGAGAGTTTTACAGATTGCTCCCTTATTTGTTTCTTGCTTAGCCTGAGGTCCATTATGACCATTTTTATCAGATTAATAACTGTCCATTTTAACTCTCAAAATTCCCCGTCCCTTTCCTAAAATTAAGATTCCATGCCACTTTTCTACTTTGGTACTTCTTATGTTTGTTCACCTTCTTCCTATATAGGATTCTACCACACATACACACACACTTTCTTATGGCTTCACCTCTTTTTTTTATAAACAGCTGTCTAGTATTTATAGCTTTCATTCTTTTCTCACCTCCATGCCCTTTTCTTTTCCAGTCAGCAGCTACATTCTTCTTCATTCCTAATCACCCAGGCACCCCTCTTTTGGCATATCTCCATTCTTTCCCGCTTTCGTTCTTGCTCCCTACCTGCCACCCA